TAATCCATATATTAATACATTTATTCTGTCGATTCTGTGTGTGTTTTTAATGTAATGTTTAATTCCCGAGTGATAATCACCACTCATTGATTCGTTTTAATTTTATAATTAATTATTTTGTAAATTGGCTAAAATTTTAATCATATTTTGTAATCAATATTTCTTTTAATTTGCTGTCATTTTGATTAATTAAAATTTTTATTATGAAAACTATGTGTTTGTCAATTGATTGTCATATATTAACACTAATTTATAGCCTTTAATTAAGTGCCATAATAAGTGACCACAACTTCTTCCTCCCCATTGCTCTCTTCCTCATCACTGAACTCTTCGTTTGAATTATGATTTCCGTCAATAAAATGCAAAAATCATATAAAATAACATTTTTACTAACAATATATTTATTTTGCAGAATATTCTGTTTATTGAATTATAAGTGTGTTGTTTAAATGGTAATGGTGCTAAAAAATATTGCGATGCTATATAATATGTTAACTAATTATATTAATATAATAAGTGTTCAATTATTTGTTAGAATATTATTTTTTAATTAAATAAGTTTTTACTATAAAATTTTAAAATCTATCTCAATATAAATGACACATTCAATTAAAAATCAAACCATATGTGTGTACGAATATAGTGTTTCTGTTTTAAAAATTGTATTATTAGGGTTTTGGATATAAAACGAGAATAATTTTTAAATAAGTAGCAAAATTAATTTACTATTTTTCAATTGATGCTGCATACCTGCCCATATTCTATAACATCCGTTAACAACAATTATATACTGTTAAGGATGACATTCTTTTGGCCTCAAATTGCCAGCCCTATTGATAGTGGTATGAAGATGTGCACAATTGTCAATTTATGTTTTATCCATGGTCAAAATAGGCAAATGGCCACAGACGTTCGAGTTCTGGCCAATTTTCAAATCGCCCGAACTATATCTTATAGCATTGAAAAAGACAATTCACATAATGAATAGTCGTTCGCATGAATGTAATGCTATAAGGCATAAGATATATTACAACTTTCATTGTCCTTATTATACGAATAGCATTATATTATTAAATAAATTTGTCAATATACCGATTAATTTTAGGGTTTTATATTTATGTAATATAGTATCTAATTATGTAATAGGTGACCAAATAATATAATAATTTTTGATATATAATCTAAGACCTTATAAGAAAGTGAATGATATTTATTAATTAATGTTAGTTAATTAAAATAATTTTATTAACAAACATATGTTGTATAAATTATATGACAATGAAATTAAATCATAAGACAAGACTTACTAATATTAAGTAACTGTGAGAATGTATGAATATATCATTGTTTTAATCGTATGCTATATTCTGTACAATTTACTTTACCGAAAAACATACATACAAAGCACCAAGGTAAGTAACAATATATATTTTTAAGTGGGTGAGTGAGTGAGAGTGAGAGAGAAAGAAAGAGAGAGAGAGAGAGAGAGAGAGAGAATATATATTTTTATGCTGAATAGTTAAACAGGGTATGTTTAAGTGGATGCAAAATTTACGCCTCACTGCTTCTAACGATTGTGTTTTAGTTTATTGATTATTTGTATGTTAGCCACATATAGTGTGACCACCTGTGCTCTATTTCACTATGCCCGGTTTTAGTATATGTGCTTTTAGTACAATGTCACGGGTATTAATCAGAAATTATTAATATATTAGTCTGTATTTGGTCATGATCAAAACGCCCAAATTGATTGTCCGCAATTCCCAAACACATGGATCGGTGCAATGCCTTCGAGAAGTCTACCACTGAATGCGGTCAAACATTTTGAAATGTGTGGCCAACAATTGGTGGCATTCAGGGGTGGATCGGGTGCTGTCCACGTGTTGTCCGCCTATTGTCCACATTTGGGCGCAAATCTCGGTATTGGCGGACATGTGGTGACTGAATCGGGCGACGACTGTATTCAGTGTCCATTCCATGGCTGGAGGTTTGGCGGAGACGGACAGTGCAAACGCATACCTAATCTCAACGGTGTGTTCATAAGTAATGCTAATTGTTATTTATGAATATTTTTATCCACTTTAATAGACTCTGATTTAAAGGCAGTGAAAGCTGTGGTAAAGAAATGGCAGACAATAGAGAAAAACGAGTTGATATATGTTTGGCATCACTCGGAAGGCTCGGACCCCGACCACTATCCCGAGGACTTTCTCGCCAAATATGGTCACAATCTATCGTTTAGATACTATTATTCGAGACATATGGACAGTAACTTTGAAGTAGGATATATATATTTTATTACATACAGTACTTACAAAACGAATTAAACAATATGTGAAATACAAATAATCATTTAATATTAACTATGAATATAAAAATATTTAAACCATTAATTAATGATGATATATGTGTATGTGAAATTCATTGTGAAACATTGTGAATAGGTAGTGGGCGAGAATTGCGGTGACCTGGAGCACTTTGCTCGCCTACACGGATCGGTGGTGCCGTACTTAACGACTACAAAATTCTCTTTTGACACAACACGCAGTGCTGACAATGAAATCGCCGGTTTCGCTACAATCTATGTATTGGGCTTCGAGTTAATCACTCAGCCCTGGAAGTTGTGGTTCGGCTCACCAGTGATGGTACAGCACCTCTTAGGATACGACAACTCATTGCTGGGACCTGTATTAGGTGTGCTCAATGCCGTACCGTTGCACCATGGCCAAACACGATTAACAACAATGA